TCCCGTCGTCGTCGTCGTCGTCCCGCGCGACCCGGACGGTTTCAAACGCATTCGAATCATCCATCGCCGCGCGCGTCGTTCCGCCGCCCCATTCGAACGCGCGCGGGCGTCCGGGACGCGGCACCCGTGACCCGACGCGCGCGTCGCCATCGTTCGCGGCGCCGTCGCGGTCGCGCGCGCGCCACCGCGCGTGGACGTCTGGCGCACCGCGTCCACGAGTCATGACTCACACGCGAGTCCCTCACCGATGCCCATCGCCGCCGCCGCCGCCGACGCGCGCGTCGACGCGCCGCGACGTCCCGCACACGCCCGCTCGTCGCGCGCGAGTTCACGGGCGTCGTCGCGCGCGCGACCGCGACGCGCGCGCGATGCTGGAGCTCCATCGAGGGCGATTCGTGACGTGGACGCCGAGCCCGGTGACGGCGCTCGCGACCGCGCGCGGTGGCGCCGTCGTCGCGTGCGCGCGCGAGAGCGGCGCGATCGAGGTGTACGACGCGCGGGATTGGCGGTGCGTCGCGCGCGTCCCGGGAGATGGCGTCGGTGGGACGAGCGCGTTGGCGTGGGTGGAGACGTTTGAGACGGATGGGGACGGAGGCGGGGCGGCGCGACGGGGACGGAGCGCGTTGGTGAGCGCGTCGTTGGATGGACGGGTGCGCTCGTGGGATTTGGAGAGTGGACGGGTGACGAGTGAGGTGGACAGTCACGGTGGGGCGATTTGGGCGCTCGCGGCGAAGCCGAGAGGGCGGGGGGGGGAGGCGGAGACGGCGCAGTTGTTAGCCGTCGCGTGCGACGACGGATGCGCGCGATTGTTAACCATGGTTGGTGGTGACGGCGTCGGGAGTGGGTTGACGCACAAACGCGCGTTCTTGCGCGTGCAGGGACGGTTGCTGTCGTTGGCGTGGCATCCGAGCGAGGAGTTGCTCGCGTGCGGGTCGTCGCGAGGCACGGTGCACGTCATGGATTGCGTCAACTTTAACGAGATGCGAAGGATTTCGGTGTGCAACGTCGCGTACGGCGCTCACGGGATCTTGAACGCCACGGACGAGAACTGTGTGTGGGCGCTGACGTACTTACCGGACGGGACGCTCGTTTCTGGGGACTCAGACGGCGCGGTCACTTTTTGGGACGCGAAATTTGGCACCGAGTTGTCGAGGCACCAGCAGCACAAAGCGGACGTTCTCGCGCTCGCGGCGACGCCGAGTGGGAAGAAGGTTTTCGCCTCGGGCGTGGACTCTCAGTTGGCAGAGTTTGAAAAGCTCGATGAGCACTTGGAGAAGGAAGAGGGATACAATCAATGGACGTACACGACGAGCAAGCGGCCTCATACGCACGACGTGCGAGCGCTCGTCATGGCGGCGACGAGTTCGGCGGACGAGGATGGGATCCTGATATCGGGTGGTAACGATGCGCAGTTATTAGCGTATAACGCGGGTTTATTCAGAAAGCAGCACCCGGTTCGCGTGGTGAGTGTGCCGCAGAGGACGCCAATTTCAATCACCGGCGTCGGCGGACCCAATCCGCCCTTGTTACTCGCTGAACACGCGCAGTGGCTCGACGTGTGGCGAATCGGTGAGAGTCGTAAGCGCGCTGATAAGAGAGAGGGCACGATGAAACTCGCTGCCGCGCCGGCGCACGTCCTACGCGCGGAACTGGCCGGGACTCGGCACGTGTTGTGCTCGGCAATTTCTCCGAACGGTAAAATGATCGCAGTGAGCGACGTTCAGACCCTTCGCTTGTTTGAAATTCAGTCACCGAAGGACGATAATGATGACATGACGTGGAGTATAACACGTCAAGATCCTCCAGCTGGGGTGACGTCGGCGCGACTTCTCGCGTTTGCTCCGGACGGCAAGCACCTCGCCGCTGTGTCTCACGCTGGTGCGGTGAACATCATCGACCTCGAGTCCTGGACACTGTGCGACGTGCTGAAGTCGCACTTGCCCAAGCACACTGCGGCTGCAACGGCGCTTGCCGCGGCGATTCGTCACACGGGTGAAGGAGACGACGTGGTCACGGTGAAGGACATCGCCGTGCCCGTGGTGAACCACGTGCAAGTGAGCGGCGATAACCAATGGCTCGTTGTCGTCACCGCGCGCGGAGCGAACGAGACCGACCGCGCCGTCGATGGATTAACACAGACCATTGGTGGTGGTGTGCACGTGTACAACTTCGATACAATGAAGCTTCACGTGTCGTTGCCGCCGCCGAAGACTCACTCATCCTGGCCTCCGATTTCTGCCGTCGCCATCAGCTCTGGGGGTGTCTTAGCTCTTGCCGGTCCCTCCAATGCGCTATTCACGTATGACATCGATCAAGTGAAGCCGACGAAGTGGAGTGCGGCGTTGTTCGAAGCTGGCGTCGACGCACCCACGGCGCTGCGTGAGATGCCTGGACAGATTTGCGGCTTGAGCTTTGATCCCAAATCGAAGAAATCTGTATTGCTGGCGCACACGCCCACAGCGATCGCGCGTGTCGATTTAAGCGCTAAGATTACTGACGATGCGACGTCGACAAACAAGAAAAAGCGACGCAGGGAGCGTGAACGTGGTGCGCCCGAAAATTATGCCACTGCGGATGCTCCGGGAGGTATTCGTGTCGTCAAGCTCGATAACCCGTGCCTGTACTTGGGCTACGCCGGCGTAAATAAGGCGCTGCTTATCGAGCGACCATGGGCGGATGTGCTGAAGTCGATGGCACAACCATTGTACAGACACAGATTCGGGACGTGATGACGTGTACGGGTAAAGTAAAAGGTTTGTAGTGAGATTCTAAAAATTTGAGACACTACATCACTTTATTGGCCTCCAATTCCGAGCAACATGTTCGCCCCGCTACCCGGCAGGTACATGACGTTACGGCTCTTCGCGAGCGTCTGCGCGATCTCCCTGCTCGCTTCGATGCGGCGCAATTCAACGAGCGCGGGTCCCGCGGTCTTGGTGGCGAGCGAAATCAGGCGCGCGGACTCGGATTCACCCTCGGCGCGAATAATCGCAGCCTCACGCTCTTGCTCGGATCTCTTCACCACGTACACCGCACGCTCAGCCTCTTGCTGAGATACCTGCTTGGCTTCGATAGCCTTCGTGTACTCGTGAGAGAAGCTCAGGTGCGTGAGCGCCACGTCATCTAAGATGATGCCGAAGTCCTTCGCGCGCTTGCGCAAGCCCTGGCTCACCATGTTGCTCACCTCTTGACGTTGCGTCAAGAGTTGATCAGCATTGAACTGCGCCACCGTGGCCTTCAAAACCTCATTGCCGATCGACGGCAACACGCGATCGTCGTAATCCTGCCCGAGCTCCATGTGAATCTTCGGCAGCTTGTCCACGTCTGGTCGGCACAGCACCCTAAGCGTCACGTTCACCTGCTGCAAGTCCTTCGTCCCCGTCACCGACGTCAGCGACTTCGCCCGCGTGCGCACGTCGTAAATCGTCGGATTTTGAATGAACGGCACCATCAAGTGCGTTCCCTCACCCTTGACCACAGGCAGAACCCCTCTGAAACGGTCGAACATCACCGCGCGCTCGCCCCCATCCACTGCGTCGAGAAGAATCGCACCCAGCGTCTCGTCAGTCCTCCTCTCACCCCTCGCGCGCGCGTCATCGCCCGCGGGTCACGTTCTCTCGCCGTCCACTCCTCGCGCCCGGCTCCGTTCGCCCGCACGCGCGTCGCCCGTGTCGAATTCCCACGCATCGACGATCGACGTCGAGGCGTCCCAGCCGCCCTCGATGACCCCTCGCGCCCGTCGTTTCCCTCGCGCCCGTCGCACGCACCGTCGTAAATCACCTGCGAGACCGCGGTGGCGGTCACGCCGAGCCCCACCGCGGCGCGGGCGAGGTTTTGCAACGCCTGCGCCGCCGCGCTCATGCTCGCGCGACGCGTCGAGAAGTGCCGCGCATGTCGCCCTCGACGTCTCGCCGCGTCACACCGCGACGGGCGACGGGCGCGCGGCATGGGCGCCGCGGAGGGGCCGTCGCAGTGGGAGCACCAGGTTGGACACGCGATGGACCTCCTGCTCGGTCTCATGGCGCTCGTCGGGGGGTTTCTTGGATGGATGTACTGTCACCTGCGGGCGGAGCGGAGACGACGGATGGCGGAGCGCGCGCGATTGGTGAGCGAGCGAGGGGTGGTGTAGGGCGATGGATGTGTACGGTGACGCGCGGTAGAGATTGTTGTAGTTTGAAGAATGTCTTATTACGTGAGCTGTCGCGACGACGCGTTGGCGGGCTTTACTTGGCGCCTTCGGATTCCTTCTTCTCTTCCTTCACTTCCTCGCCTTCGTACGTGTTACCCTCGGAAGCGGCGCCGGAGGACCCCGCGCTTTGGTTGAGGGACTCACCGATCTTCATCACGGCCTTTTGGAGTGCGTTGATCGCTTCGCGAAGCTTTTCAACGTCCTCACCCTCGGAAGCGGTGCGCACGTCCGCTTGCGCGTTCGTGATGGCATCCTTCACGTCTTGCGGTAAATTGGCGCCGTGCTCGCTGAGGTTCTTGTCAGCGCTGTAGATGAGCGTATCGGCTTCATTCTTGATCTCGATCATCTCCTTGCGCTTCTTGTCTGCGTCGGCGTGGGCCTCCGCGTCGCGAACCATGTTTTCAATGTCGCTGTCCGACAAGCCACCGGAAGATTGAATGGTGACCTTTTGCTCCTTACCCGTCGCCTTATCCTTGGCACTCACGTTGACGATACCGTTGGCGTCGATGTCGAACGTGACTTCGATTTGTGGCACACCCCGCGGCGCCGGCGGGATGCCGACAAGGTCAAACTGACCGAGCGTCTTGTTGTCCGCGGCCATCTCGCGCTCGCCTTGCAACACCTTGATTCCGACCTGGGTTTGGTTATCCGCGGCCGTGGAGAAGGTTTGGCTCTTCTTCGTTGGAATCGTCGTGTTGCGGCTGATCAAGCGCGTGAACACGCCGCCGAGAGTCTCGATGCCAAGAGAGAGTGGAGTCACGTCGAGGAGCAAAATGTCCTTGACGTCGCCGCGGAGGACGCCACCTTGGATGGCGGCGCCCATGGCGACGACTTCGTCGGGGTTAACGCCCTTGCTCGGCTCGCGGCCGAAGAGGTCCTTGACGATTTGTTGCACCTTGGGCATGCGCGACATACCACCGACGAGCAAAACCTCGGAGATTTCACTCGTGCTCACGCCGGCATCCTTCAAGCAGTTCTTGCACGGTTGCTTGGTGCGCTCAAGGAGACCACCCACAAGCTCTTCGAGCTTGGCGCGCGTGAGCTGGAGCGCCATGTGCTTCGGGCCAGTCGCGTCGGCCGTGATGAATGGCAAGTTGATGTCGGTGCTCGCCGCCGATGAAAGTTCAATCTTCGCCTTCTCCGCGGCTTCGCGGAGGCGTTGCACGGCGAGCTTGTCTTGCTTGAGGTCAATGCCTTGATCCTTCTTGAAGTTGTCGACAAAGTAGTCGAGCAAAACGGTATCGAAGTCTTCTCCACCCAAAAAAGTGTCCCCGTTCGTTGCCTTCACTTCGAAAACGCCGCCAGAGATTTCAAGAATGGAGACGTCAAAGGTGCCCCCACCCAAATCATAGACGGCGACGAGGCCCTCCTTCTTGTCCACACCGTAGGACAGCGCCGCGGCCGTCGGCTCGTTGATGATACGAAGCACTTCGAGACCAGCGATCTTACCCGCGTCCTTCGTCGCCTGTCTTTGAGCGTCGTTGAAGTAAGCCGGCACGGTGATGACGGCTTGCGACACGTTGGAACCGAGGTACGCCTCCGCCGTCTCCTTCATCTTCTGCAACACAAAAGCTCCCACTTGCGACGGGGAGTATTGTTTCCCACCCGCGGACACCCAAGCGTCACCGTTCGGCGCCTTGATGATCTCGTACGGCACGAGCTTGGCCTCCTTTTGCGTGTGCTCGTCCTCAAACGTACGACCTATGAGACGCTTCGTCGCGTACAGCGTGTTCGTCGGGTTCGTCACCGCCTGACGCTTCGCCGGCTGTCCGACCAACCGCTCACCCTTATCCGTGAACGCAACCATGGACGGGGTCGTTCGCGCCCCCTCCGCGTTCTCGATCACCCGCGCGTTCTTACCCTCCATCACCGCCACGCACGAGTTGGTCGTCCCGAGATCGATCCCGATGACGCTCCCACCGCTCGCGTACCCGCGCGAGAGCACCGGCGCCGCGTGCATCCATCTCCCCTCAACGCTCGCGCTCACCGGCGCGTTCCATCGCTGCTCCATCAAAACACGACGCACTCGTCAGTCTCGCCCCATTCGCCCATCCGCCCCCGTCAGGGCACCTCCCGCGTCCTCGCCTCGCGCGCGTTCGCACCGTCCCAAAATCCCCCGTCATCGCGCGAGTCATCGCGCGCGCATCACGCTCGACGCACCGTCACCGCCCGTCGCGCCGCGCGATGTCCACAGCGCGTCAAAAACCGTCGCATCGTTCGCGATCGAAGCCGCCTTCGGATTACCGCCGACGCCGATGTCCGTCGCCGCCCTAGCCTCGCCCGCGCGCGCGCGTTGTCGACCTCGGTGCGCGCGCGCGGGAATCCACGCGCGGTCGATCGAGATCGCGTGCGCGTGCGGTCGTCGCGCGCGCGTGTCGCGGCGTCGCCGCCGCCGGCGATGACGTCGCGCCCGTCGGGGGGGCGGGCGCGTCGGGGGACTCTTCGCGAGTCATGACTCGTACGTACCTAAGACTCGGGTGTCCTCACCAGTCGTGACTCGGGCGTCACCGAGACTCGGGTGTCCTCGGGTGTCTTCTTCAGTCACGACTCTTGACGAGTCCCTCGCGCGCGCCCGACGCGTCCATCGCGCGCGCCGCACACCCCGGCGACGCGCGCGATGGTGGACGCCCGCGAGGTCCGCTCGGAGGTGCTCGCGCACTTTTGGACCCTGGCGAGCGACGACGGCGCGCGCCGAATGGCGGCGTGCGAGGCGCTGATGGGCGATTTACGCGCGCGCGGCGGCGGCGGCGACGAGGACGACGGCGAGACGGTGGACGACGGCGACGGGGCGGACGTCCGAGCGTACGCGCTGCGACGACTGACGCGAGGATTGTCGAGCGGACGCGCGGGGGCGCGTCGGGGGTTCGCGCTGGCGCTGAGTGAACTCGCGAGCGAGGAGACGCGCGGGACGACGCCGGCGGCGGCGCTGCGGGCGATGGACGAGAACGAACCGGCGATCACGAAGTCGACCAAGGGGGATGAGGTGCGGGATATTTTATTGGGACGGTTGTTTGGAGCGGTGGCGATCGCGATGGCGCTGGGAGAGCGGAAGGATCTGGAACGGGAGGAGCGCGCGCGGGTCGGCGCGGAGATCGCGCGGCGCGCGCGCGCGTTGGCGAAGGAAAAGGTGTATCTCGCCGAGCCGGCCGCGTTGTGCGTGCTCGAGCTGAAGAAGTCGATCGGAGACGATTTGTTCGTCGCGGTGGCGAAAGAGGCGAGCGAGGATCTCTCTGAATGGTTGAACGGCGACGGCGCCGAGTCGCTGTGGCTCGCGTGCGAGCTTCACGACGTGCTTCCGGCGAAGATGCGCGAGAACGTCGCGTGGTTCCCTGGGTCGAAATCCAAGGGTAAGTTGAACTGGAGCGATGTGTGCACGCGCGCGCACTTGGGGAAGATTTCGAACGCGCTCTTGGAGGCGGCGCACGCGCACCCGCGGATGCACGAAGCGTGGTCGATGATGCTTCGAGAAGCTCCAGCCGCGGGAGGCACCGTGGCGCTCTGGGAAGTGGTGTGCGAGGAGGGTTTATTCGCCACCGGTTCTCACCAGCGTCGATTTCTCGGATTCCGAGTTTTCGATGCTCTCTTGGCCTCGGCGACGGCGCAAGAAATCCCAGCTCTCTTCTCCACCAACTTCATCAAGTGCTTGCTCAACAACCTCAACGCACCGGATAACTATCTCCACGAGTGCGCAATTGACTGCTTGGCACGGATCGTTACGTACGCTTCGGACAAAAATAACGCCTCAGACAAGAAGATTGCCGTCATTGCGGCGCTTCAGCGCGAAGGTCCGACGAGGTTCGATCGTGTGACAAAGACAAACGCCGTTCAAGAGTTAGTGAATAGTCTGGATAACAAAGATGCGGTGCACTACTTGGAGAGTATGTATGCGATCGTCACAACGGCACCGGAGCAGGACCCCGACGTCGTTGGAACGGAGGAGGAGCTCGCGAGCGCATTGGCCAGCGGAACTGGTCAAAAGCGCCGACTGTGGGCTCTCGAGCAGATGACGGGTCTCATCCCGATGCTTCCGAACGACAAGGTTCTCGAGCTCATGCAGTTCATGCTTTTTCATGCATATTACAAGACGTCCGACAAGACGAAGAAGGGCAAGTCGAGCGTTCCCAAGATGATCCTTGAGTCGCCGTTGGAAGAGCCCGTCGGTTCGGTTCGAGTCGCGTGCGCGACGCGCTTCCTCGCGATGATAAATGCGAACATTCGCGCGCAACGCGCGGCGACGAACAAAGACGCAGACACCACGGGTGATACTATCGATTTGTTGAGCAGTGCAACATCCTTCTGTCGTTCGTTGGAGACCGAACAGCGCGTCGTTATGTGCGACGCCATCCCGAAAGATTGCATGGAAGTGCGAAACGAGCTCTTCAAGGCGCTCGATCTGTGCGAAGAGAGCGACGACGAACTCGCGAAAAAGGTTATGCCGCTCATTTGCGTGTTGTCCGTGCTTCAAGTCAGTGATTGGCGTGAGTTCACGCCGGCAATGCAAGACCTCCCACGTTGCGTCACTGAGCTCGTCAGTCCGAAGAAGAAGTCCAAGTCGAAGAAGAAAGACGAGGAAGAGCCAGAGGCGATCGATGTTTTGACGGATATTCTTCTTAGCCTGCTCGCGCAGCCCAGCGCCTTGCTGCGCGACGTCGTCGAGCACACTTTCAAAGCTATTTCTGGGAAAGTCTCTAAAGCTGGTGTTGAGGACATGCTGCGAATCATCGCCGGTCCTGAAGCTGGTGAAGGCGACGAAGAAGGCGGCGATGAAGACGATGAAGATGAGGTGCTCATTGAAGGCGACGATAGCGACGACGATGACGACGACGACGACGACGACGACGACGAAGATATCGATGAAGATGACGACGAAGACGAAGACAGCGAGGAGGATTACGGCGAAGCGAACGAGGCGGAAATCGCTGCGATGCGTGCGGCGGCGAGCAAAATCGTCGGCACCACCGATGTCGACTCCGACGATTCTGACTCTGAATCTGAAGGCATGGACGACGCCGCCATGTTCCGTATCGACAAACTCCTCGCCGAGGCTTTCAAGAGTCGCCAACAGGATTTGATGCGCAAAAAGAATCTGAAGCGCGCGACACGTGACTTCAAGTTCCGCGTCATCTCTCTTTTCGAGATTTACGCGAAAACTCAACCAGGGAGTGCGTACTTGCCATCCGCGATTGTCACGCTCTTGGATGCTATGCGTGAATCCTTGGGTAAGCAAGACCCGCAGAGCACTCAACTCGCCGAACGCATCTCTTCACTCATCGTGAAGCACATCTCACACGCCCGAGACCTTCCAGAAGGTGACGACGAAGACGTCGCGGCTGCGGCTATTGAGTCCAAGCTCAAGTCCGTCATCGTCTCCGCAAATCGAGGCGCCACCGACGCGCAGGTGTTCAACAAGGCAAGCGGCGCCGCGGCTTCATATTTGTTACGAGTCCTCGAAGCCGTCTCTCAACGCGAGAAAGGCGGCAAGGCTCCGGAGCCAGGGCACGAAGTTGCGAGTGATCACGCGATAGAATGCTATCGCGACGCTTTGAAGATGTTCAAGTCGAAGAAGAGTAGGCTGAAGACGGGTTTCTTCTCTCAAACGTTCACCAGGCATCCGGCTCTGGCGGCTGCTTTGCTTCCGGAGCTGTTTGGTCTTGCCGCGCTTGACGCGGACAAACCGAGCGCACGTGGGGAGTTCTTGCGACTCGAAGCGCTGAAGTTGATAAATCCCGTGATTCAGTCAGGGAAGAAACGATACCCCGGGCTCGCGAAAATGGTTGCCAAATCGATGAAGATGATTTCGACGTCCCTCGCCAGTGCCATCGGCGCGACGTACAAGAACAAGAATACGCGCGCGGATGCGTGCCAGCAGATCGTCATTTGTATCGAATCGATCGACCGCTTACTTGGAGACGCATCGATCACGTCGGTCATCAACGTCGATGGCATCGTCGCCGCCGTGGCGGAACAGATGGCGCACCCGCCGGCGATGCCGCAAAAAGCGCAAAAAGCATTTGCGCGACTCTGCGCGCTCCTCAGTTGCAGTGTTCCCGACGTCGAAATGCGAGAAACCGCTGATGTCGAAGATGCAAGTGCGTCCGAGGACGAGGCACCGCCAAAGAAGGAAAAGAAGTCGAAGAAACGCGCCTCGACGGATGATGGTGACGAAAAGTCGTCGAAATCCAAAAAGAAGAAGCGCTCCGAAATGAAGTAGAGTCGTCGTACCGGTACAAATCTTTGTTACAGCTAGAGTAGACCATTATTCTACGTCTCGCACTCCCGCGGCTTCGAGTTTCCGTCGCTTTAACGACGCTAAAATCTCCCGACCGCGCTCGCGTTCCGCCGCCTCTCGGTGCTTGCGCGACGCGACGTGACTCTCCCAGTTATTCCGCGTCGCACACTTCTTCTGACACGCCGCGCAAAAGTACCCGCTCGCCTCCAACGCCGCATATGTATCATTACCCTCATCATCGTCCTTCGTCGTCTCCTCCGTCGCCGCCCCCACCGTCGCCGTCGCCTCCACCGTCGCCGCCGGCGCCGCCGTCGCCGTCGCCGCCGCCTCCACCGTCGCCTCCCCGCCCGCCGTCCTCGTGCGCTTCCTCGTCTCCTTTCTCGCCCCGTCCCCGCGCTTCCGACGTTCAAACACCTCTCGCAATCGTTTCCTCGCGTCGATCGATCGCGCGCTCCCGCCCTCGCCGAGCCGGACGCCGTTTCGTCCCTTGCCGTCGGCGGCGCCGAAAGCGCCACCCTTGAACCCGTTCGACTTCACGGCCACGTTCTTGATCTCCCGGGGTAACCCGCGGTGCCCGCCGAGGTCGCGCGAGGCCTTGCTCGAGTGGCCGTCTTTAGATCCGGGGGCTGGCATGCGGGCGAAGCGAATGAAAGTGCGGCGCGGAGGCGCTCGGGCGCGTCGTTACAACTGAGAGCCTCACGCGAGTCGTTCTAAAACCTTATCCATCAACGACGGCTCCGGGGGCGGTAACGACGCGCTCGCCTCGGTCAATAATTTCAAAATCTTCGTCCGCGTCTCCTCGGTGAGCGGCGTCGTCGCGCCGTTTCGTTTGTAAAACGCGCTCAGCTCTCGCAGCGCCTCGGCGATGTCCGCGTACGACGCGCTCTCGCGCGCGTCCGCGCTCCCTTCGTACGACAGATACGCCTTCACCGCCTTCTTCGCCGGTTCCGCGTACTTGAACCGTTCGCTCGCGCTCGCGCTCACGTCCACCGCTTCGTGCTCCAACGACGTTCGCAACGCGTCCACCACGTCTCTCGCCAGGCGCGCGTACCGCTCCGGGACGTCCTCCAGCGCCGACGCGACGTCCGCCGTCCCGCTCACCACCACCGCGCACGCCGCGATCGCGTTCGTGACGAACATCGTCCGTCGTCCGATCGCGCCCGTCGAACGCGCGTCCGTCGTCGCGTCGGCGTCGTCGTCGGCGTCCGAATCGCGCGCTCGGCCTCGCCACCGCGCCACGCGCTCGACTTCGCTCGCGGGCACGACCACGCGCACGAGCGCCGCTCTCGATCGCGGATCGCCCGCGCGCGATGCCCGCGCGCGCGCTCGAGCGCATCGCGCGCGCGCGGACGACGCGCGCGCGCGCGTCGAGCGCATGACGCGTCGAGAAGTCGCGCAACGGCAACGACCGAAGAACACCGCGCGGGCGATGGGCGCGGGGTCGATCGCGCGCGCGATCGCGCGCGCGGTGGACGCGGGCGAGACGACGACGGGGCGCCGGGGCGCGGGCGCGCGGGCGCGCGCGCGGGCGATGCGCGCGCGTGAGGGCGTCGTGAGCGCGCTCGCGGCGTGCGTGCTGACGACGACGCACGTCGCGCCCGCGCGCGCGTTCTCGGGAGAGATCGCGCTGGATCGGGTGACGTACGAAGAGGTGACGTGCCCGGTGAATCAGTACGTGCCGAACGCGCGGACGAAGTGCGTGATGTTCACCGCGCGGGCGAAGAACGAGACGAAGGGCGGGCGGATGATCGAGAGCGCGAACGTGTTCGGGTTCATCGAGGATGCGGACCGAGAGAGCGCGGCGACGGTGAATCCCGATGGAAGCTCGAGGACGGTTTTGAGCGCGATCGATGCGCCGATCCCGCGGGGGGAGAGCGAGGTGAAATTCGTCGTGACGGTTTTTCCCGAGGCGTTGGCGAAAGGGCCGCTCACGCTGAAGGGATTCAAAGCGGTGGGTTCGGTGGCGGACATAGATAAGCGGTTCAAACCGTTCGATGCGTGTGAGGTTGATCCGGATTCGTGCCTGTGAGTTGACGCGCTGTCGAGCGGTTCTCGCGGCGTCGCGGAGCTCGAGTCGTTGCGTTGTGATATTTTATTCATGTCAACTTCAAGAGACGCTGCTATGCGGTCTCTCTGCTACTCGCACCCATGCCCGCTACAAAAATGGAAAAAGAATTCTTGACTTTTAGCGTATTTATACACCCCCGCGGTCGTCATCAGTACAGACCGATCACCTTCCACCACGCCATACCGACAGTGCCATAGATGGCGAAGTTCACCGCGGACATGTAGAGACCTTGCTTCCAGAGTTTCCGAAGACTGATCTCTCCCGAGCCGTAGTACACCGCGGCCTGTCCGCTAGCGTAGTGCGTCAAACCACCCATGTTGTTCGTGTTGAACGCGAGTGAAAGGGCCGCGAGCGGTGGCGGCACGCCAGCCGCGAGCAGTAGCGTCAAGAACGCCGGATAGAGCGCTCCGACGTGCGCGGACTGCGAGGCAAAAAAGTAATGCAGGAAAAAATAAAAGCAATGAAGTGCACCAAACATGCCCCACATCCCCAAATTTTGAGCGACGAGATAATTCGACACGAAGCCGCTCAACCACCCGACGACACCCATCGCGTTCAGCTGTCCACTGAAACCGACCAGGACGGCGAACCAGATGAGGGTATCCCACGAACCCTTTTGTCCAAGCGCCTCGTCCCATGACAAGACACCGAACATCAACATGAAGCACATTCCGATCATCGCCGAGACGACTGCGGAGATGCCGAGTTGCACGCCAAAGACCCAGAGGAAAACTGTGATACTGAGAGATAGGACCATCTTCTTTTCGATGCTGCTCAGCGGTCCAAGCTCCGAGAGTCGCTGAGCCGCAGCCAGAGGAGCCTCCGGAGTTTCGTTCAAGCCTGGAGGGTCGAGCATGAATACGCACATCGGCGTGGCGAGAAGAGATACCAAGGCTGGAACGCTTGCCGCGACGAACCACGCGTTGAACGGGTTCGAGAAAGGAATCCCGCTCGCGAGCGCAATCTGCATGGCTAAAAAGTTTTGGGCCGCTCCAGAGAGGAGAAACGTCGACGTCGGGCTGGTTCCTTGAATCTGCTGGCCAATCAGATACTCTCTCGTTCGTTTGTCCAGGGACTTGATCACCGGTACGAAGACGCCGGCGGCGCGCGCCGTGGTGGACGGCATCGCCGGCGAGAGCAAAGCCTCGGCGACTTGGAACCCATAGGCGAGCGACAGCGTCGTGTGACCGGCGACGGAGACGAAGAGGAGCGCCAAACGATCACCGAATCCAGTCTTGATGAACGCCCGCGCGAAGAAACCGGTGACGACGATGAGCCACACGACTTCGTTCGTAATCGCGCTCAAACCCTGCACAAACGTCAACGTCTTCGTCGACAGCGCTACGGTGAGCGCACCGAAGGCCCACGCCCCGATCGGCATCGGTTTCAGCACCAATCCCGTCACCGTACTGACGAAGATACTCAGCAGATTCCACGCCTGCGGTTCCAGCGCCGCTGGACATCCGACGCCCCACTTGAGCGCGACGCCGACGCCGATCGCCACGCACGCGTTCACCACTCTCAAGTCATCCGCCTCCATCACCACCGCCCGCGTCGTCTTCACCCCCCCCCCAACGCCGTCTCCACCGCTTTCACGCTCGATCGTCGATCCCATCGTGAGATTTCGCCTCGCGCGTCCGCCGCGTCCGCGTCGTCCGCCGTCGCCCCGCGTCCACCCTGGCGCGTCCGTCCGCGTCCGCCCACCCATCGCCGCGTCCGGTCGTTCATCCCGCCCGTCGCTTCCGCGCGCGCGGACGATCGCGGACGTCCCTCGCTCGGCGTCACCGCGCGCGCGCCGGCGCGGGGCGTCGTCGACGCGCGCGCGAACGTCACCGCGTCCCGGGTCTCGCGTCGCCCGTCCCGGCGCTCGCGTCGCCCGCGCGCGCGCTCGGACGTCCGCGGACGCGCGCGGGGCACCGCGCGCGAGGCCTCGCATCGCGCCGGGGCGACGCGCGCGGCGAGGTCGAGGCCGAGGCGGGCGCGAGCGACGGGGCGTGGTGGC